ACTTTGGTCGCCCAGCATGAAAAAAGACGTGGGCAGTTATGTGAAAAGTTGCACCATCTGCACCACTATAAAAAAACGACCAGGAAAACCCCCTGGATTGCTGCAACCGATGGCAGAACCAACGAGGCCATGGGAGGAAATCGCAATGGACTTTATAATGGAATTGCCAAAGAGCGGGGGGAACATGGTGATCTGGACAGTGATTGACTTATTCTCCAACCAGGCACACTTCATACCCTGCAGCGGACTACCCTCAGCCCACCAGTTAGCCAAACTGTTCCTGAAGCACATTGACTGCCTGCATGGAGTACCACGAAGAATAATCTCAGGCAGAGGGGTCCAGTTCACGACTAAGTTCTGGAGGAAGTTCCTGTGGTCTATTGGGTCGTCCCAGGGCCTTACCTCAATTTTTCATCTGGCTCCCAATTTGGGGGGAGCAGAATGTCTGAACGCCATGGTAGAGCAGTTCTGAGGTGTTACGTGAACTATCAGCAGTCCAATTGGGCAGACCTCTTGCCTTTCGCTGAGGTTGCATACAATAATGCTGTTCACAGCAGCACAGAACTAACTCCGTTCAAAGTAGTGAGTGGCATGGACTTCGTCCCAATGCCAGAATACCTAAGGGATCCCCCCCCCCTCCTCAATCAGCTTGACAGACTGGCTGTCGATGCTAAAAGAAGCATGGGAAAATGTCAAAAAGGCACTAGCAAAAGCGGCACAGACCTATAAGAAACAGGCAGACAAACACTGAACCCCACAATGACCATTCCAGCTGGGGGGAAAGGTCTACCTCTCCACAAAATACTTGAGATTAAAACTCCCCAGTAAGAAGCTGGGACCCAAGTTCATGGGGTCATTCCACATAGTGAAGATCATCAACCCAGTCACGGTGCAATTAAAATCGCCCCGACTACTGGGGAAGGTATACCCAATATTCCATAGCAGCTTCTTAAAATCCGAGGTTGGGTCAACCATGAGACCACTACCCATGAACCCCCAGACCCAGTGGTCATAGGGGGCCAAACCCATTATGAGGTGCAATGAATCCTCAACTCGAGGTGGCACAGGAAACAGCTCCAATATCTAATCAAGTGGAAGGGCTATCACTTATCAGAGGCTTCTTGGGTAAAGAGTAGAAACAGCCAAGCTGATCACCTCATAGCTAAATTCCACAAAGACAACCCAGACAAGCCTGGGGGCACCCCTAAAATCTATATATGTACTCAAACTGTCTTTGCTTTCCACAGGTCGCCTTCAGGAAGTGAGGGAAGCCAAATGTCAACTCATAAATCATCCCTGATCTGCTCTCGAGTTGCCATAGGCAAAGGGGATGGGGAATTAAACCTTGCAGCTGCATCAAGAAGCTTGCATCTCAGTCAAAACAAAGCACATTCCAGCCATCATGTCAAGGTCACCTCTACAAAAACCCACAGTGGCTGGAGGGAGTGACTTCTACAACCCATGAAATTGCTTTGTTGGGGAATATGACTAATCACGCATCTTGGGGGGAGGGGGAAACAGGGTCAGAGCCAAAGCACAAATTAAGTGAAGTCAGAGTTGGCTCCACTTGGTCCGTGCCTACATGAAGCTCCTAATAAATAACTGGCTTTCTTTTGAAGCTTGGCCTAAGCCTCATGATTTAGTTAGGGCATCAGTCAGATCCCTGACATTATGAAATGTCACGTGACACCCCTGAGATACATTATGCCCTCATTATGGCTCTCCTTATAAACAAGGGAAGCAAATCAGACTGTGGAAACTATAGAGGTATCTTTTGTTGTCCATCACAGGCCAGATCTTTGCCCACATTCTTCTGAACAAACTTGTCATAGTGTCAGTAAGGAACCTCCCAGAGATGCAATGTGGCTTTCAGCCAGAACAGACACAACATGGTATTTTGCCATTAGGCAAGTCTAGAAGTGCATTGAGTAGAAAAAATGTCTTTACCCTGTCTTCATTGACTTGACAAAGGCATTTGAACTGTAAACAGGGAGGGTTTCTGGATCATCCTAAGACATTATGGCTCTCCAAAGAAATCTGTGAAGTTGATTCAGCTACTCCATGACAGAATGACAGATAAGTTCTTTAAAAGGGTGATACATCAGTTGCATTTGCCATTTCCAATGAGGTAAAGCAAGGTTGTACGCTATTCTGTATGTTCTTCACTTGCATGTTGTCACTACATGCTATCCAGGGTCTGAAGAAAGAAGTGTATTATCAGATAATGATTGGACAGTTCTCTCCCTGACCTTTACAACTTGAACGTATAGACATTCAATCATTTGGGAGACCTTCTTTGCTGGTGACTGTGCACTCTTTGAATACAAGGATAATGATCTACAGTTGATGCTGAACAAATTCTCAGATGATGATGTTCTTTAGACTAAAGTATTTTACCAGCCCATGCCAAATATGAAGCACACAGAAGCAACAATCACTGTTGGTGTCACCCAACTGATAAATGTAAATAGCTTCAAGTATTTGGGAAGCATCATCTTGAGTGATGAGTCTTTGGATAAACAAATTGAATCCAGGATTGGCAAGGCCAGCCAGACATTGGAGTGGCTGTGTACTAGAGTGCTTAATCCACACAACATTCATATATCCACAAAGTTTAAAGTCTATAGAGCTGTGGTTATCCATTTTCTTCTGGATAACCACATGACATGAGTAATGTCATAATGTTATGAGTATAATCAAAATAAACATGAGTTGTGGATTCTGTACTGAAGGCTTATCAAACAACTGAAGAAATGTCAGAGGTGTGCTCTCAGCTCCATTCTTGGCATTTGTGGCAAGATTGTATCTCCAACCTGGAGGTCATGTATCATGTAAAATCTACTAGCCATTGAGTGTCAATTATCAGAACCTATATGAGATGAGTGGGACATGTCATCAGAATGGATGACCTCCTTATACCTCTCCAGTTATTCCATAGTGTGCTGGAATCTGGGAAGAGACCGTGAGGTCAGCTTATTACTACAAATACACTATGAAAGAAAACATACATCACTGGGACATCCAGCTAAGGAAACTAAAAGCTGTATTTGCATACAGAACCTGCTGGCGACCCTTTTTGCTATGAAACCTCCATCAAGTTTGAAGACACACCCAGCCAAACTTAACACCTGTAAGACCTGTAGTTACTATAACAATGGATTTTCAGGGCCCTCAATGTGCTAGACTCTACATTTCCAGACTGGGACTGAAGCACCATTTCCAAGTCCAGAGATGAAAATGGAACTCATTAAAAAATATTAGGAACAAAAAATCAGAGGAACTGAAATTCAGAGATGTATCTTTCTCATGCTGCTACTAATAGTCAGAAGAAAACTAAGAAGAAAAGCAAGAACCACTACTGGAAGCTTATACTGTATGCCAAGGAGGCATTTTCCATTGAAAAATGTGTCTTTGTTCTAGAACAGTGATGGTGAACCTTTTCTGCACCAAGTTCCCAAACCAGAATGCGTGTGCATGAGTGTGCATGTGCACATGCCGGAGTGCCAGAAACCCAAAGACCAGCTGGCCGGCGTGAATATGGTTTTTGGCCATTTTTCGGGCCGTTTTCAAACCACTTTCCAGGCTGTTTTCTGGGCCGTTTTCCAAGCTGTTTTTGCCCTGAAAACCAGCCGGAAAACCGCCCCAAAAACCGCCCGAAAAAGAGCCTGTTTTGGGGCTGTTTTCTGGTGCTCTGTGGCCATGAAGACCAGCTGGCCGGCACGCACATGCATGCTGGAAACCAGAAGAACACCTATCTCGCTGCATGAGTTCTTTTTTATCTAGGAAAAGACAGAACAAATCCAGCGTTGCTAATACTGGAGTGAACATCAAAATGGCAGAAGTCAATTAAGGTCAGCAAATGTAAAATGATACACATTGGTGCCAAAAACCCTAACTTTTGATTCAAACTAATGAGTTCAGAGACTGCAATGACAGATAAGGAAAAATATCCTGGAATAATGATAAACAGTTCAATGAGGGTGCTGATACTGTGTGCATCTGCTGTATCAACTATAAATCAATGGTGCAACTTCATATTGTATCCAGTTCCGGTTACTTCCATCCCACACCATTCAAAGGGGATTCATCCATAGACATTTAGCTATGTACTTTGGGGTGAACCCCCTTCGAATGGTGTGGGAGTATGAACCAATTTCCAAAAAATTGCAGACTACAGGAACCATTTGCATTACTCAGGTGACCCTAAGACAGAGATAAACCTCCAAGGGGCCTCAACGACTCTCTAAAAGAATGCAAATGACCAACTGTCTGCAAGGAATATAAATCCTTCCATTCCCTACTATCCAGTCAGACCCGAAGAAGTTTCTTGGATAAGAAGCAAAACATCTTCAAAGAAAAACAAGGAAGTCCAGTTGCTTCATGAAAAAGCACCTTTGGGACAACCATGACCTGAATGACTGAGAATCTCCATTGACATTTTTTTTTATATGATACAGAATTAAACTTTGCAATTTGCTACCATGGGATGTTATGCAAGCTGCTCGCTTGGCTGGCTTAAAAAAATGTTCATGGAAATCACGGGGAACAATAACTTTTAGCCTTGATGGCAGTGCAACTGATTTTGAAGGCCATCAGCTGGAAGACTAGTGGGCTTTCTTGGGTAGCCGGTGGGTCACTGTAAAAACAGTTTGATGGGCTATCTGGTCGATTGGTCTGATCCAGAAGGGTACTGCTTATGTTTTTATGTTATCTGAAATAATCTACTGATAAAAAGGGTGAATCAAATGACTCTCCCAAACTATGTACTTATTTCAATGAGTAAACAACAGTCATCTCAAATGTCTACAAATTCTACAATCCACAATCTGAAGGGATGCTACTATTATCAACCTTGGCATGTTCAGATTCATTTCAGTTTTCTATTACCTGCCCTTTCATTCCAAATACATCATGAAAAAGAGTACTAGAAATTTAGTTGCTTAAACCTCTCTGTTAATCAAATGTTAGTACATTAGCACACAAAATCTTTATCACCTTACCCTCCCATCTCAGACTGAGGAGTAGTTTTGGTAATAACAATAGTTTTCCCCAATTTGGATTCCAGATCCACTTTGTAATCTCGATGCCGCAGAAGCTCACGCTTGATAGGCTGCACTGGTTTGCCTAAAATATAAATTTAAAAAATTAATGAGGATAGACAGAGAGATAGATGACAGAATGATTTGGTATACCCTTGAAATATAAAATCTTCATTTTAGTCAGTAAATATTGTTTTTTCCTCTATTGTCCAAGAAAGTTCTTAATTTTAATTCCCCCACTCTAAGATCAAATAAACCTAACTTCTTAATTTGTCGAATATGAGTAAATTAAACAGGAAATAAGTATTTACAATTTTTAAAAGAACATAAAATGAAGTGTCTAGCTGTCTGTCTATTTATGTATGCCGTTATGCCGCCCATCTCCACCGCAAGGTGACTCTGGGTGGCTAAACCTTCCCTCTAAAATGGTGTCCTTTGCATCTCATTCTACAAACTGATTTAGCAACTACTAATGAAATAGAGCAGTGCATTGCATAGTCAGCATACTACTAACCATCTTTCTTCTCTCTTTCTTCTGTAAGTCGTTTCTCTGCAAGCTTCTCATATTCGTCTTTGTCCCACTTTCGACGGAAGTCTAAGTTTTTAGCCTATGATTGAAAGAATATAATGTTCCAATTAACAAAAAAGGTCTGGTATTGACAATAATATGAAAATTATTGGTTTGTAGGATATTCATTTTCTCTAAAATCTCTTACACAGGAAAAGCATGAACAGGAAGCATTAACTTCAACTATTATATGCTACAGGCAAATTCTAAAAGCTACAGAACTGAGAAGGTCTGATAAGGAATAAAACTTTTATTTAAATATCAACCGCTGAATTCCACAAGGGTCACCAATCTCTTTAGGCAGTGTGCATACATGGTGAAATTTTAGGCTACATCAATAGAAATATCCATTCTAAAGCATGAGAAGTAATAATTCCAGTTTTACTGTAGTCAAAGTCCATCACAGAACAGCATCTTAAATCTTCACAAGAGAGGACCAATGACAGCTATGATTATAGTCTTCAAGTGTCTGAAAGGATGTCATACAGAAAAAAGTCTAGCTCTCTCTTTTCCAGACAGGAAGACCCAGAATACTGGACTAAAGTTATTGGAAAGCAGATTATCACGGAATACTAAGGATTTTATTTTTTACAAGAAAACCAATACAATAGTGGAATTAATTATCCAGAAGGATTTCCCTTCACTGAATTTGTTTAAATGGACACTAGGGCAGCCATTGGTGAGGATTCCTGCCCCGAATAAGGAATGGGACTCAATGGTTTGAATGGCCCTTCTAACTGTTTCATACTATGATCTTGTGTCTGGGCATTAAAAACATTACTTGGGTTTCTGTATGAAAGGGAAGAAATCTCATGAGTTTTCAGTCTCAAGAGACCTAATGAGAGAACATTTCAACTTGCTAAGATTTGGTGAATACGTAAGATTTCCTCTATTTAAAAAACTGATTGCCTCACCTTGGAGTTCCACATGTGCCATGTAGAGCCATCATGATACCCACAACTACTGATACACCTGTTTTATTAATATTCTTACAATAATACTTAGTTTTACGAGAAAAGACCGTGATACTATTCCTGACTAAAATAAATACTAGCCTATGGAGACAATTACTAGACCAAGAAGGTAGGAATTGCTTATTAAAGCGAACTATAGAAAAATAAAGGCAGCAGATACCTGACGAGTGAAGTATTTATATAGTTTTAAGAAAAATGCAGGGAGACACAACCAAAATGAAAATGTTATCATTAAATGCAAGAGGGAAAAAGCTATAGAAGTACATCGATTCTAGAGAGTCTTAAATTATCACAATGGTAAAAAAAACTATTACCTACTAAGCTTCCATCTCATATGGAGTTTTTCATTATAAGAAAAAAATCCTAAGAACTGGACATGGAAAGATGTCAAGATAACATGTAGAACTATGATTGGTTCAATATTAATTGTAACATAATAAATAAAATCAGGTTACCTTTAAGTTTCCCAAAATCTCAGTGGTTTGAAATAATTTTAAACTACAAAATGAGGCTATCATTATGTAAATAAAATGAATAGTAAGGTACTAGAATCAAGACAGATAACAGGAAGTACTACAGGTAGTTCTTGACTTACAGCGATTTGTTTAATGACCATTCAAAATTACAGCAATACTGAAAAAAGTGACTTACCACACTTACAACTATTGCAGCAACCCCATAGTCATATGATCAAAATTTGGGTACTTGGCAACTACATGTATTGATAACAGTTGCACTGTCCAGAGCTCATGTGATCATCATCTCAGAGATGGAAACAGTAGCAGTGATTTGGCATGGCCAAATCCCCTGGCTGGCCATGACCCCGACCTGGTCGCGCAGTCGCTCACTTGCCCCAGTTGCTCTCCTAGCTTTCCCTACCATGCTGGCAGCCGCGGTGCAGCTCGGGTGGATGTCCTGCAGCTGCTGCACATGTGTACTGCGTGTGCAGCCACTACACATGCAGTCCGCACATGCAGCAGCCCCGGGACATCTGCCCACCTGCCCAAAGCCGCTTTTTCTCCCAGCGGATGCACCTCTTCCAGCCCGACCGGCGTGGCCCAGCCAGCCAGCAGGTGGCCACATGTCCAGCCAACCCTTTTTTAGTACAAGAAACCTCCCCCAATCATCCAGCTGCTCTCCTCCTTCTCTGCCTGTTTGTTCTGTATGGCCGAGGAAGAGGAGAGTAGCCAGCCGGTTGGGGGAGGCTTCTTGTGCTGCAAAAGAGGCATCTGGAGACCGAAAAAGAGTCGCCTCCAGCTGCCTCTTTCGCAACGCAAGAAGCCTCCCCCAACCGGCCAGCTGCTCTGGGCCAGTTGCACTGAAAAGGGGGCAGCTGAAGGCGACTCTTTTTGGTCTCCAGCCTCCTCTTTCGCAGTGCAAGAAGCCTACCCCAATCGGCCGGCTGCTCTCCTCCATTCCCACCCCAATGATTCAGTACCCTAGGTAATCTATTTTATCCTGGTGAAATTCACATTTGGAGAGTTTGACAAAAAACTTAGCTACCTCCCACATCAATTTAACATGTTGAGACTTAGTTTCTGTATAAATCAATCAAGATAAACCAGGTTTGGTTCCCTCCCTTCTGGTGGAGATCTCTTCCAGGAGTGGTTTGCGCGGTACTTGTTTTGAGTTTGATCGATTTCAGCTTCCTCAGCCAAGACACAGTAATCGTGCAGGTGGACTGGGGCTCCATGGCCAATGCAGGTGTTGTACAGGTCATTGTTTAAGCTATCTTTGAACCAACTCAGGAGTATTTCCTCTGGCCAATCTATGTGGCAAATCAAGTCACGAAACTCTTCGATGTATTTCACGACTGGACGGTACCCATCTGGCATGCCTTATGTGGTCTCTACCCTTGTGGTCGGCTTGTGGGGGGGTCTTCAAATCTCTGTCTCAGGGCTGTCATGAAGCAGCTAAAGTTATGGAGCTCCAGTCCATCTGCATTATGGAGGCTCACCATCCAACGTGCAGCTGATCCTTCTAGAGCCAGTGTGACTACCCTGACTTTGGCCCTTTCATTAGGGAGGTCCCTCCCATACGTCTGCATTTAGGTCAGTAAGTGTGCAAGGCAAAATCCCAATTGCTGGGGATTCCTGTTCAATTTGATGCCAAGGCATTTCGTTGTAAGGGTGGAAGCCACCTCCTATTGAATCACAGGCCTTGCTTTGTGTCAAAATGTCTCCAGGGCAAATCTTCCATGGTGGCAATGGGTTCGCCCGTAGCCCCTGTGATTTCAGTAGATGCCCCTGAGGTTGGGGATCCCTTTCGTTCATCAGCAGCCTCCTTTTGCACTCCTATCTCACTTGCAGCGCAAGCCAGGGCACCTTTGATCCACATACCATGGATGGCCTCCTTCATGAGGTTCATGGCTTCCCTCAGGAGTTGGTTGGGCTGGTCTGGGGCTTCTTCCAGTTCATTGTCATCATAAAGTCTTCCATCTCCTACTTCCAGCTGGGTCAACAGCTCCTACGAGAGGGTGACATCCTTGGCCCCGCCACCCCAGCCTTCCTTCTTCCCAATGCCAACGGACCACCTCGGCTTGGCAGTGGTGCTTGAGGCAATGTTCTCCTCAATCCAAGCATTGAGGGCCTCCTCTTCTTGAGCCTTGGAGGGGGGAGGGGTTCTCTCCCAGCATTCAGCCTCTTTATGATTGCTGCCCTGGGCAGACATAGTGTGCACGGTCCCTATGGTAGGGCTACTGCCTCTCCAGCAACAGTATGCAGTTTGCACTTCCTGCCTAATGTAAGGTCTTACCTCTCTAATCTTCCCAGGAAAGCAAGACTCTTGAAACTGAAGTTGTTCCAAAAGGAGCTTTTATTGAAAGGCTTCTGATATCAAGAGGTCAAGGCAGGAACTAAATTTTCCCATTTAAAAAACAGCAATTTAAAGCAGTGCAAACGAAACCTTTCCCACAGTACAGCATAGCAGGAAACAGAAACTTCATATAGCGATATCTCCAATCCCCACCCACCCCCACCAGAATGCCAGCATCCCAATAGAAATATATGGGACCTGACAACATGGTTGTTAAGTGAATCTGGCTTCCCCATTGACTTTGCTTGTCAGAAGGTCGCAAAAGCTGATCACATGACCTGAGGACACTGCAACCATTATAAATATGAACCAGTTGCTGCGCATCTGAATTTTGATCATGTGACCATGGGGATGCTGCAACTGCAAATGTGAAAAACAATCATAAGTCACTTTTTTCAGGGCCATTGTTAAATTTGAATGGTCACTAAACGAAGCATTTTAAGTCAAGGACTACCTGTATAGAGTGACATATAAAGAAAACAATGAATAACACAGAAATCAAAGTGATATACAAAGAAAACAAAGTATCAGAGAATATGCTAAGCCAAAAACAAAACCATATTATGGCTTAATATGATAGTATCATAGACTCAGGACTGGAAGGGATCTCGGAGGTCTTCTAGTCCAACCCCCTGATCAAGTCAGGAGTCCCATCCCAAGTATATCTCTGTATATATGTCATTGGTTTCTTACTCTTTATCTTGCTGGGCTGACATCAATCTTGCAAATCTCAAACTGCTTCCTCAAATTATTTTCTTCAACTGGAGTTCAAGCCCTGCTTATCTGAATGCTGCCACGGTAGCAGCTTTCCCTTTTGTCCTTCAGAATCATTGCCTATCCATCTAGTATTCAAAGTTATCTGAACTAACATTAAAAAGATATTTTGAGAATTACAGGTTTATGAAAGTTTAGGAATAAACAAAAGCAGAGCTGTTTTTATATAGCAAAATAGTCAGCTCTAAAACATACATACCTGGAATTGTACTACAGTATTTTAACTTGTTCTGTTATTATAAATCCAGACATATTCTGTTTGTAACTTGATTACAATAGGTTTTTTTTCATTATCAATTCAGTGAATTTGATTATTACTAAACTACTAATAGTATACTGTGATTGATCATGGATATTTTTATTCATGTGAACTGACTCCAACTGTGACAAATTGGCATTAAGGAGTCACTAGCAAGATGATTTCTTTATATGGCTTTTTAAATGTTGATTCAGGTATGCTGATGGCTGGCTTTTAAGT